ACTCATAAGTGGGAGTTGAACAATGAGAACACATGGACACAGGGAGGAGAACAACACACACTGGGGCCCGTCAGGGGATGGGGGGCAAGGGGAAGGAGAGCATTAGGACAAATACCTAATGCATGTGGAGCTTAAAACCTAGATGATGGGTTGATAGGTGCAGCAAACCACCATGGCACATGTATACCTATGTAACAAGCCTGCACATTCAGCACATGTATCCCAGAACTTAAAGTAAAATAATAAATAAATAAGAGTATTTACCACAGTTCAAGTTATAGATCAGGATTTTTTTTAAACCTGAATATTTAAATATTTAGTTTAGCATGACATACAGTGTCTTAGTCTGTTCAGGCTGCTATAACAAAATACCTTAGACTGGATAATTTATAAACAAAAGAAATATGTTGCTCTGGAGGTTGAGAAGTCCAAGATCAAGGTGCTGGAAGATTTGGTGCTACGCAAGGGCCCATTCCTCATAGATGTCGCCTTCTACGTGTTCTCACATGGCAGAAGGGCAAAGAGGCTTCCTCTTTCATAAAGGCACTAATTCCATTCCTGAGGGTGGAATCCTCATGACCTAATCATCTTACAAAGACCTCACCTCTTAATACCATCACCTCAGAAGTTAGGCTACAACATATGAATTTTGGGGAGAATACAAACATTCAGACAATAGCATATACATAGAATAGAATCACTGTGGAGCTCTTATAAATCATGTTTTATTATAAATGTAAGAATGAGTTCATGAAATAATATAAGTGAAAAAATAAGATATGTAACTATGGGTACAGTATGATTACACTATTTTATGTAATGTATACAATGTATAATATATGAAATATATATGTACACATAAATACATGTACATAAAATATTTCCTGGTATGTACATGTGTATATATATTTTTATGTATATAATTTATACACATTAGCAAAAAATGAGAAAATATGACAAATATTTAACAGTAGCTATTTCTCCAGCAGCAGGATTACAGATAATTTTTATTTTCATACATTTCTGTCTGACTTTTCCAAATGTGCTATTATGAGCACAAATTTTATAATTAAATACAAGTCAATAAGCATTTTAATGTGCCTATAACAGCCCATCAGCAAGTGAAGAGATGAGATAAAAATGTGTCTGCACTTGGTACACATATTGATTTTCTTTTACTTCCATTTCCAGATGATATTGACAAAGATATTGAAAAAATTTGATTGATATGCCTCAGCTCAGACTTGCTATGCAAGAGCAAAGTCTTATTGTTTTAAAGGAATTATTTGCTGATCAGCTATAGGGTGACTTGACCTCACATTCCTACCATGATAGTCCCACAGTGTAGGGATGGGGTGGTATGACTCCCAAGACTTGGAGTATGTTATTTTCTCAGGGCAATGAAGATTTGGACAAATGATAGCAAAGACAGAATTATTATCTCATCAAAGACATCCCTCAGCAGTGTCTGTGGGCTGTGCAGTGTTCTCAGTTCGATAAAGGATTAGGACACAATGCTTCTTTGGAGAACTGTGACTTGATACTGCATCAATATCTTTCTGAGAAATGTTTTTCATTTTCTTGCCTCTTTAACTTCTTAAGCCTTAGGAGAATTAGTTGAAAAGCCAAGTCTTTGGGGTAGATACTAACATTAAGTCTTCTACTCTGTCATTTGCAATCATAAATTCCAGAACACAGCTCCTAATTCCATTGTGTATTGTTTTCTAAGGGAATGATAGACAGATTCTTTATTTTTTAAACCCCTAAGCCTACCACACTTGCTGAGTTCCTCACTAGTCACTAAGAAAGTCCTGTCAATCAACGCATGGGTTTATGTCCATTGCTCAGCCCTTCTCCAATCAGACTCATTCCCCCAGCATCCCTGACACACCACTCTAAAATGTGGCTGCTGATGGTTCACCTTCCTCACTTTTGTCTACAAATCTCAATCCTGCTGATTCCACAAATCCTGCATCAAGCAATATCATTTTATGAGCCTTTCCACAACCACCCCTTCAGGGGATTCTTCAATTCACACAGGAAGTCTTCAGAGTATCACCCTCAGAGCCAGGCAAGAGGGACTCCTGGCTAGGGTTTCATGCTTTAGAGAGTCCAGTTCTGACTCCTTTTGGCCATAGGACTAATGTGATATGCCCACCTGGAGCCTGTGCCCTCCCTTCTAGGCCATGCCCTGGGACTCAGAATCCCTTACCCTAGATGGCCACACAATCACTTTCAGGTCCATCCTCTCTGGGCAGACATCACAAATGTGTGCACCCCAAGGCCCGAGGCCAAGAAGGCAGCTTTCTGGATGTAGGGGCTGACGTGTTCACACACATTTGCATGGCCCCTCAATTCAAAGAACAAGGGGGGAAAGTAAGAAGAAAAGAAGTAGCTGGTGATCAGGACCAGCTCTCGCAACTCAGCCATGTTGGGTCTTTCTGATTACACCACTTAGCTCAAGTGCAATGCTCAAGACACTTAGCACATTCTCCAGCTGAATTTACCAGTGTTCATGGACTACCTGGTTTAGAAATATATTTCACTATAAAGTAACATACAAATGAGCAGAAAGGGAGTTAATAAGATTAATAATAGAGTTAGTTTACATTATGAACTGAGTTTTGAGAAACATAATTTCTTTCAACACTAATAACAACCTTGTGGGGGTTCACTGTCTCCCTTTAAAAATTAGGAAACCAAGGCTTTGCCATGGTCTCATAGGAGGGTCAGAATAGCATTTTTGTGACCCCAGAGCATACTCCTCTCCACTCCACCTACCCATGTGTCCAACTCAGACGCCTCCTGGGATGTCCATGTCAACTATTATTTAAAGAGTAACCAACAGATGGATAGTTTTCTGTTTGTGAATCAATGGTAGGTGACTGAAAAATTGGTTCTGAGAGGTTGCTTTGCAAGGATTGATGGTCACAGGCTGAGAAGCAGATTTGAAAGACCTACCTGCTAGCAGCATGAAGAGCTGCTCTTCCTTATCTTGGCATTAACTAGTTAATTATTGGAGGTAGGTGCAGGGATGGATTATGTGTATTCTTAATTGTTGGAGAGTGGGTACTGGGAGTTACAAAGACCTTTGTGATTTTCGACCTTGCAGAGCTGAGCAATTTCCAGTTGCTTTACTTGCTGATAACACTGCTTCCCTTATCTACCATGGAACACATCTTAATGAAGAATTTGCATTCACAGCATCCGGTTAATGAATATGAAACTAAACAGTGTATATCCCTCTGATGGATGGGATTTCGGAGGCACAGACATTATACACATATTTGATGATAAAGTACTAGAAGTGCAGGGAATTGAGGTCAAGCTTCCTCCTAAGGGGACTAAATCCCAGAGAGAGCAGGTGACTTAGTAATGAGAAGGGGAGCTGTCTGTTCAACCAGGATGCTCCTCCTATGGCACAAAATTCAGTTTTAAAAATATATTAAATTCAAATCAAATGTGTTAAGTGTGAGTTCTATCCCTACAGGTGTGAGGCAGAGGTGGAGGACTTTGTATACAATAGAGAAATAAATATAAATATTAGGTCTTCCATGACATAGGATTCACTGACCCTCTCATGGGCATTCCTCTGAAGCATTTTGAGATTTATTGCTATAGAAGAGCCTCCCAAACATAATCTCACTTAGAAAAGGTAATCATACTAATATGATTTTGTTCACAGGGGAGAATCTAAGTGCACACCACTGCTTAAAGTTATTTCTTTGTTCCTAGGTTTAAGGGGAACTAGTAAATAAGAACATTCCACTTTGTCTGCATCAATAAAGATGAAAGAAGATGACTTAGGAGGTAGGAATTGGAGTGGGAAACATTTTTCTATGTTCCCAATATTCTGAAACACATATCACTTCATTCAATCATAAGGTAAACAGAGTATGTAATTTACCAGAAAAAAGTAATGAGACTGGTGGTGCTAGGTTTTCATACTCCAGCTATTAATGAATTAAAGAGAGTAACACTCCTGAAAAGATACCATTTTCTCAAGAAAGCTGGAAAAGAATGTGTGGCATTTAAAACATACCAAACTCTGTGGCCATAATGCTCTTAAAATTCATCTGTCTAAAGAAATTAGAAGTGAATCATATTAAATAAGGTTTAGATATATCCACTTTATCTTCCTGAAAATATAATTTCATTACAATCGAATTTATCAAATTTTATCTGATTTGACTTGCTATTTAAAATACTTTATAATTTACTTGCATATTTGGAATTACAATGTTCTTAATATACTTCTTGATTTTAACAAAACCTAGGACAAATGTTAATCAAATCAAACTGTTCAAAGTTACTTTATAACACCTTCCTATGAACACACCATACACACAGCAATATCTAGCAAGGGTGTCAATTTTTCTTTATTTTTAAAATCAGATCATTTAAAGAAGTTATTTACTACAAATGACTCTACACACACACGCACACACACACGCAAACCTTTTTAAAGAAACGCTAGAACCCAACCCCCTTTAGGCCAGAGGAAAACATTACAGCTGTACACGCACTTGTGCCTGTTGCCGTAGAGTAATACGGTAGCAGCAGGAGATTACGGTACTAGCTGGGCTACTGCCTGTGTTACGTCAGCGAGAGCTGCAAAGTTCCTTGCTATTCTTTTCTGGTGTCGGGGAGCTGAATATTAAAAGGGTGATTGTGGAGTTATCGGTTATCTGTATTTTTTTTTCTTTTCCTATTTTGACTCTTTTAAAAAATGCAGGTAAAGTGACAGCGGGCCAGGAGCTTAAAGACATCGCTGGTGGAGGGGTGAGTCAGCGGGTGCAAAAGGACAAGGATTTGGTTCCTCGGAGAGACGGTCCCCTCTCCGCCTCCAGAGAAGAGCAGGCAGGCAGCTCCCGGGACCCAAGCCGGGTCCGCCTCCCACGCTCGCGAGCTGGTGGCTCAGCAGCGGCGCTTCAGGTGAGTGCGCCGGGGCGGGCGTCCCGCAGGGCCGAGTGGGTGAGGGCAGACATCCCCCGCTGTCTGGTGAGACCGAACCCCCACTTTTCCCAGCGCCTCCCGCTTTTTCCACCAGGTTTTATACCGGCCCCTCTACCCCACCCCCGATTCCCTTACATCTTCTGCGAAGTTGCCTTCTACTTAACAAGTGTCTTTTTAACCCTGTGTTTATCACCCTCGAGGTAGGAGGGAAAGGGTTTCTGCAGTGGCACGATTTTAATACCACCTGTGAGGTCTTAAACTTGGGATTTTAACAACAGTCTTTGCCCGAGGTCTCCTCTCAGGGCCCAACCCAAGAAGGCAAGGTGGGCACTTCCTCACGCCCCGCGGTCCTGCCGAGTCCCTGCGGTCGGTTCGCAGTTGTGGAAACCCAGGTTTCTTACGCAGATGGTGGCCCCTAGCCCAGAAAATCGAAGGCGGCCCCTGCCCGCTGGCATGCCGGCTTCATGTTTACGCCTGCAAAATCCGCAGTGACTGTCACTTGCAAAGCTGCCTCTGCAGAGGGACGTCCTCCCCACTCCGTGCCCCGGCAGTCCCGCTACGGCTGGCAGCTGGAGCCCCTCGGGTGGCCAACAGTGAGGCTTGGAGAGGCGTCGTGGACAGATCTGGGTCGCTTTCAGCCCTCGGGTCCCTCCCGGCTTCGCTCGGGACCTGGCTCTCAAGTCAGCTTGGCTGGTGGACAGACCGGCGCGCTCTGCGCACCCGAGTGCGAATTCCACCGGCGTGAGCGTGAGCGTGCGCGTGGTCCTGGCCCTGCGGTCCCTGGGTCTCAGCGGTTCCCTCTCCCAGGCCGCCCCCTCCAGGTGACTGCGAAGCAACCTGTTCTAATGGAAACCGAGTACATCCTCCAGAATTCCCCGGCTAGGATCAGTGCGACACACTCGCCAGCCGCGATCGCCCTTCCCGGGCTTCGAGGATTTTAATTTCTCGGTACCGGCGCTCGAAATCCAGCCTTCGAACGCTGGAGCCTGGGGTTAGGGGGATTTGTTTTTTTGTTTGTTTGTTTTTCGCTTCGAATCCTGAACTCGGGCAGAGGTGACTCAGTAGAGCGCGCGAGGCAGGTTCCCAGTGGTGGGGACGCGAGATGCGCTCCGGAGTCGCCTCCGCCACAGCCGGGCGAAGCAGCTTCTGGACCGCAGAACCAGCCCGACTCCCAGCTGGCGTCCCGCAGCCGGTCGAGCTCAGCACAGCCTCTCTCCTTGGGGCGCCTAGCTCACAGCCCGCCTTTCTCTTTGCGCTCTTTCAGGTGGACGCGGTCAAACGATGCCCGGCAGCCGCCTGTGTCTCAACACATATTTCACACCCACGTCCCCTGGCCTGTGCTCCTAGAAGCTGGAGACAGCAGGAGCCTTCGGTGGGGCAGCTCAAAATGTAGGTAACTGCGGGCCAGGAGCAGTGCCCAGATGCCATCGGTCCCTGCCTTTGAGCGTCGACGGCTGATCCTTTGGTTTGAGGGGGAGACTGGCGCTGGAATTTTGAATTCCGAATCATGTGCAGAATGCTGAATCTTCCCCGAGCCAGGACGAATCACACAACGCGGAAAAGCAGACTCTCGTAATTTTGGAATTGCATGTTGCAAGAAGTCTCCTGGATCTTCACGCCCACCCTCGGGTAGGGAGGGAGTTGGGGTCCGGGCTAGGCCAGCCCAGCAGGTGGAGAGGGTCCCGGGCAGCCCCGCGCGCCCCTGGCCATGTCGCCTTTAATGCCCTGCCCCTTCGTGTGGCCTTCTGAGGGTTCCCAGGGCTGGCCAGGGTTGTTTCCCACCCGCGCGCGCGCTCTCACTCCCAGCCAAACCCAGCTGGCAGGGCTCCCTCCAGCCGAGACCTTTTGATTCCCGGCTCCCGCGCTCCCGCCTCCGCGCCTGCCCGCGGGGTGGCCCTGGAGAGCCGGACCTCGCCCGGCCCCGGCTGGGACCATGGTGTTTCTCTCCGGAAATGCTTCCGACAGCTCCAACTGCACCCAACCGCCGGCACCGGTGAACATTTCCAAGGCCATTCTGCTCGGGGTGATCTTGGGGGGCCTCATTCTTTTCGGGGTGCTGGGGAACATCCTAGTGATCCTCTCCGTAGCCTGTCACCGACACCTGCACTCAGTCACACACTACTACATCGTCAACCTGGCGGTGGCCGACCTCCTGCTCACCTCCACGGTGCTGCCCTTCTCCGCCATCTTCGAGGTCCTAGGCTACTGGGCCTTTGGCAGAGTCTTCTGCAACATCTGGGCGGCAGTGGATGTTCTGTGCTGCACCGCGTCCATCATGGGCCTCTGCATCATCTCCATCGACCGCTACATCGGCGTGAGCTACCCGCTGCGCTACCCAACCATCGTCACCCAGAGGAGGGGTCTCATGGCTCTGCTCTGCGTCTGGGCACTCTCCCTGGTCATCTCCATCGGACCCCTGTTCGGCTGGAGGCAGCCGGCCCCCGAGGACGAGACCATCTGTCAGATCAATGAGGAGCCGGGCTACGTGCTCTTCTCAGCGCTGGGCTCCTTCTACCTGCCGCTGGCCATCATTTTGGTCATGTACTGCCGCGTCTACGTGGTGGCCAAGAGGGAGAGCCGGGGCCTCAAGTCTGGCCTCAAGACCGACAAGTCGGACTCGGAGCAAGTGACGCTCCGCATCCATCGGAAAAACGCCCCTGCAGGAGGCAGCGGGGTGGCCAGCACCAAGACCAAGACGCACTTCTCGGTGAGGCTCCTCAAGTTCTCCCGGGAGAAGAAAGCGGCCAAAACGCTGGGCATCGTGGTGGGCTGCTTCGTCCTCTGCTGGCTACCTTTTTTCTTAGTGATGCCCATTGGTAAGTCTTGACCACCCCTCACTTTAGCATTTGGGGATCTTCACCCTTCTTGGCTTCTGTTACCCCAGACTCCCAGTCCTGGATGGGAGAGGACGGATTAGCATTTCAAACAGCACAGCTCTAGGGCAATTAGAAAAGGCTCCCGTGTAGAAAAGTGAATTTTCATTCTCTTTCTACTCCAGTCTCATTTATATTAGGTCCTAGAACACTTTTTCAACTGTAAAGTGGCTTCCAACTGATGCAGATTAATTGTTCTCTGTAATAAGAATGTCAACTTTTCTTAATGCCTATAAGCACGTGTTTAATTTAAATGCATCTGCTCTCTCTAGTCTCGGAGTCTCCACCAAGTGTTTAGGCTGACTGTGGAATGCCATTTTCACTCTGCTACAGAACGCAAATTCTTTTGGCCTGAAAATAAGTACCTCGCTTATTCTGGACAAATGTGTGATTTTATTATTGCATTAGTTATTCATAAGGGTTTGTTTTAATGGTCTGTTTATGTTCTATATCTGTGCTAATTTTATTTTCTGGATTCAGTATGGAAGGAATTACGGTGAGCCACTAAGAAAAAAAAAAATGATTCTATGTCCAAACCAATTTTAGCCTTAAATAATTAATCATAATGTTTCCAATAAGTAAATACTTATTTTTTTTACTTTAATAGTAAATATTAAAACAAACACTTCTCTTACCCAAAATCATCCAGAAAGTTGCAGATGACACTGTTTGAAAATAATACAGTACACATAATGTTACAAATCCAATTTTTGCAGATGCTAAATTAGCTGTTGTCAAAATTAATTAGCTTGTTATAAGTATCAGCAAGCTGATCCACTTGGAATAGTCATCTATCTCCTTCAGTGAGATCCCAAAATGGTTGTATGCTATTTTTAGTTTGGAAGCTCAAATATAGACCCAAACATCGCTTATCCACCAACTCTAAAAACCAAAACATCATGGTTAACATTAGTAAAAGTCCATTTCAAGTGCTTTACAGCCTAATTTAAATGGCATGTACTTAAAGTACTTTAATTTGCAACTCTGTGCAATAATAGCAACTATTATTTTTTTGTGCCATTTATGTTCCAGACATTTTCCCAAGTTTTTATTTCATTAGTCCTCTCGACAACTCGGTGAGTTATACACAATTATCCGGCAATCACAAGTCATGGGAAGGGATGCTTCAGGTCCTAATACCATAGCCACAAGCCATGGATAGCTATTTAAATGTTAATTGAAATTAAATTAAATTAATATTCGGTTCCTCAATTTCTCAGTCCCACTGACCACATCTTAAGTGCCCAATAGTCACACGTGGCCAGTGACTACTGTTTTAGACAGCAGAGATATAGGTCATTTCTATCATTGCAGAAATGTCTGTCCTGTAGGGCTGCCAGAGAGGCCCTCTTTAGTCCAACACCTGGCCTTCCATTGTGCCTGCCCATCGTTATTACTTACTCTGCTCCTGGAAGTACATCACAGCTTTGAAATTACAGAAATTACACTCTTTACCTGAGTCCCTTTGCACATTTATTCATGCATCTGCTCGCTCAACAAGTATTTATGGACCATCTGTTCTAGGCACTTTGGATGAAAAGGGCAGAAAAGTCCTTGCCAATGAGATGTTTGCATTTGGAAATGAATTAAGCAAATGAATGTATCCTAAAAAGTCAAGATTAACATGCACTATCAAAACATCAACAGGATGAGAGGTTAGAAAGTGACAAAGACAATGAGGGTCTGCTTTAGTGGGTAATGGGGAAAATTCTGTCTAAAGAGGTGATATTTGAGCAGAGTCCTGACTGGACTGAAGAGCAAAGCTTGCAAGATCTGAGAAGAAGAGCGTCCTGGGCAGAGGCAGCAGTGAGTACAGAGATGGGAAAGAGCCTGACCTGTTTAATCAAGATCATGGAGGCCAGTATGACTCAGCTACAGACAGGGAGGGAGCAGTCAAGTTCAAGAAGAGATTGGACAGATAGACAACACCAAAGTCATGTGGGGTCTTTTAGACCAAAGTAAAATTTCCGTATTATTCTAACTGTGGTGGGAAGTCATTCAAGGGTGTTTAGCAGGTGAGTGGCCAGTCCCATTTATATTTTTGAAGGATCATTCTGGTTGTTGGGGGGAAAATTGGCTGTTTGGGGGCAAGAGCAGAAGCAGAGACTAGTTAAAAGGCTATTAGAAGTCAAGGGGATAGAGGTCATGACATCTTGAACTCAGGTGGGACAGGTAGAGGTGGTAAGAAGTGATCACATTTAGCACTTATTTTAAAGGTAAAGCTGATGAGTTTGGACAACGGTGTGAGAAAAAGGGAGGTTTAGGGCCTGAACAGCTGAGTAAATAATAATGCTTTTTACTAAGACTAGCAAAACCAAAGAGTTACATGGTTGCAAGGGGCTGCAGGGAGTGAGAAGTAGGAGCCTTTCTTTTGTGTACACTGTATTGAGAAACATTCATTAGACATCGAAGTAGAGATGGCAAGTAGGGAATTAGATACTGTACATAGATTTGGAGCTTAGAGAGGAGGCGGGATACAGATATAAACTTGGGATATGTCAACATCTTTAAAGCTATAGGAATAAAGAGGTTGACAAAAGAGAAGGTAAAGAGAGAAAAGAGACAAGAACAGAGCCTCCACACCTGTAGTTCCAGCTACTCGGGAGGCTGAGGCAGGAGAATTGCTTGAACCCGGGAGGCGGAGGTTGCAGTGAGCTGAGATCGCGCCACTGCATTCCAGCCTGGGCTCAGAGCGAGGCTCCATCTCAAAAAAAAAAAAAAAAAAAAAAAAGAACAAAACCTCCAGGGAATTCTGATACTTGGGGGTCAGGTCAGAAAAAAGAGGAGAAACAACCAGCAAACAAGATTGCAAAGGACTAGCCAGGGAGAGGAAAAATCAGGAGAATGTGATATCCTGGAAGCCTAATGAAAATGTTTCAAGAAGGCAGGAATAATCAACTGTGTCACATGCAGCTGAGAGGTCAGGTTAGAGGAGCACTGGGAGCCAACATTGGATTTGGCAGTAAGGAGGTTCTTAGTGATAGGAGGAAGGCACGTGAGGCTCACAGCTCCAGGGGAGTGATGGAACCAAAAGCCTGATTGTGTACTTTCTAGAAAGAACAAAGGATGAAAAAAGTGGGAACAGGGAAAATAGACAACTCTTGTGAAAGGTTTTGCTATACAGTGGAGCTAGGAGATGTGGTGTAGCTGGAGGGGTCTAGAGAAGGCTTTCAATGGTGGGAGGTGGGTATATGACATGATATTTACATTCTGATGGGAACGATGGGATAGAGAGAGGCACTGATGGGATAAGCAAGGGAGGAGACAGGATTCAGTGCCCAAGGAGAGCATTGGAAAATGACAAGGAAAGTAAAGTGTGTGAGTCCTGAGGCAAGTAGAGACAGAGGGAGAGATATATTGATCCCTTTAGGATATGTTTATGTCCTCAGTGAAATATGAAGCAAGGTCATCAGCTAAGAGTGAGTCAGGAATGGGGAACGACGGCGGTTTGAGCAGCAGAGAAGGTGTGAAAGATCCATCTTTGAGAGTGGAAGAGTAAACATTTTACGGAAGTTTAGTAGAGTCACTGGATAGTCCTGGAGGCCTATTTGAGATTTACGGTCATAACATTAAAGTAGAGCAGTCAGGAGGGTTGTGTGTTTTTCTCTAAGAGCTAAGCAGCTGAGGGATACAGGAGGCATTGCTGAGGACCAACTGTGAGTCCCAGAGAGTGTGTTTGTGAAGAGACACAGACTCAGTCAGGTTAGGGAGCATCCACAGCCAGGTGGTAGAAGGAGCCCGGGTGACGATGGGTGGCCTGAGAGTTTGGAGCTTGTGGTGGTGGCTGAGCTATGCATAGAGATGAGAAACAATGGCCTGGGTCCTGCAGTCATCTAGGGGAGGTGGACTCTCTGTCTAATCATAGCTCACTCTTGGATTTGCTCTCCCAGGGAGTCAGCAGTGTGGAGGAGAAGATGTTGTGGGGGAGAGAAGTGGTGGTAGACAGGAGCCCTCGGAATCAGTGGACTTTAAATCCTAGAAAGGTGCTGGGTGCGGTGGCTCATGCCTGTAATCCCAGCACTTTGGAAGGCTGAGCAGGCGGATCACTTGAGGTTAGGAGCTCAAGACCAGCCTGGCCAACATGGCGAAACCCCATCTCTACTTAAAACACAAAAATTAGCCGGGCATGGTGGTGCACACCTGTAATCCAAGCTACCTGGTAGACTGAGGCTGGAGAATCGCTTGAACCCAGGAGACAGAGGTTGCAGTGAGCTGAGTCACACCACTGTACTCCAGCCTAGGCGACAGGGCGAGATTCTGTCTAAAAAAAAAAAAAAAAAGGGAAAAGATTATATGACAGGAGGGAAGTAGGGAACGTACAGTTCACAAGGTCTGAGTAGCTGCTCAGTAGCGCAAAGCATTCCTGAACCTGCCAATCTGTGGTCCCCAGTTTCCTCCTGACACCAGTTGAGTAAGAGGTGATTTCCTCCAAGAATGTACTGGCTATGTAATAAGCACCAGGCTCTGGGCTACACAGAATAAAAAAGATGAATAAAGCACAGTGCCCTCAAGGGCCTCACAGTCTAGTTAAGGAGACAAATTGTCAACAATTATTGCAAGTCTGTAAGATTGGTGCTCAGAGTGATATTATTACATGGTGCTCAGGAAGGTGCTCAGAATGACATTATTACCCAGTGCTAAGCTATATAGCTGTTAACTGTGTCTGGAGGTCACTGAGAAGCTTCTATATGCATAGCCATTGACAGAGCAGAGACTTAAAGAAGATGGCACTACTTCCGCTGGGTCTTCAACTAGATGTTATATGTCTTTTTATTAACTGTCTTAAGTGTGTTTTTCATGCAAAATGTGAACAGAAGAATAAATATGCTATCATATTATTATATGCAAGGGATATTCATTCTTAAATATGACATGTGCTGTTTTGGAAAAAACGGCTGTCGGTCTGCACTAGACTGCAGGAGAGGAAAGAGATTAAAAACTAA